ATCACACCTATCAGATTGGCCAACATGACAAAACAGGAAAATTATAAATGCTGGAGAAGATGTAGGAAAATTGGAACACTGATGCATTTGGTTGGTGGAATTGTGAACTGATCCAACTATTCTGGAGAGCAATTTGGAACTATGCCCAAAGGGCTATAAAAATGTGCATACCTCTGACCCAGCAATACCACTTCTAGGTCTATATCCCAAAGAGATCATAAAAATGGGAAAAGGACCCACATGCACAAAAATATTTATAGTGGTTCTTTTTGTGGTGGCAAAGAATTGGAAATTGAAGGGATATCTATCAATTGGGGAATGGCCGAACAAGTTGTGGTATATGAATGTAATGCTATAAGAAATGATGAGCAGGCAGACTTCAGAAAAACCTGGAAAGACTTATATGGTCTGATGCTGAGTGAAATGAGTAAAATCAGGAGAACATTGTACACAATAAGTCACACTGTGTGATGACTGACTTTGACAGACTTAGCTCTTCTCAGCAATGCAAGGATTTAGGACAACTCCAAAAGATTCATGATGGAAAATGCTATTCACATCCAGAGAAAGAACTTAGAAGTCTGAATGCAGATGGAAGCATACTATTTGCTCTCCTTTTCTTTTGTTGTTTTATTTTGTTTCTTCTTTCTCGTGGTTCCTTCCGTTAGTTCTAATTGTTCTTTACATCACAACTAATGGGAAAATATGCTTAATATGAATACATAAATAGAGCCTATATCAGACTGCATGCCGCCTTGGAGAGAGGGGAGAAGAGGGCAGAGGAGAAAAAAACTCAAAATCTTATGATAATTAATTATATAAAAATAGTTTCTTGTAAAATTGTATCAAGATTCCTTTTTGATTATAACTTTCAGGTAGCCCAACAATTCTTATGTTGTATCTCTTTGATCTGTCCTACAGATCAATTGTTTTTCTAGTGAGATGTTTCACATTCTCTTCTACTTTTTCAACCTTTTGATTTTGTCTTATTATTTCTTGGTGTCTTATAACATCATTTTCTTCCCCTTGCTCAACTGTAGTTTTCAAGGAGTTGTTTTCTTCCTTATGTTCTTGGATCTTTTTTCCCAATTGAATGACTTTCTTTTCATATTTTCTTAGATTGCTTTTTTTCCCCCCTAATTTTTCCTCAGTCTCTCTTATTTGATTTTTGAAGTCCTTTGTAAATTCTTCCAAGAACTCTTTTTGGGCTTACGACCATTTGACATTTCTCTTTGAGGTAAGAGTGGCTTTTTTTACTTCATTATCTTCCTCTGAATATGAACCCTAATTTTCTCTATTCCCATAGTAGCTGTCTATAGTTAGGTTCTTTCTCCTTTCTTACTCATTTTTATTTTTGCTTTGTTTTATTTTTAGCAGCTTATTATTGTAATCAGGTTCTAGTCCCGAGGTGTGGGTAATGATGTCCTGGGCCTCAGGTCCTTCTTATTATGATTTTCTGAACTCTGTAGGGGCCCAACCTCAGGCATTCCTCTTCACTCCTAAGCCATAGCTAGTGCCCCAGCCACTGTGTCCCATAAACACCTTTGCTCCCTACAATTCCTGCCATTGCTGCAAATTTCAGGTTTCTTTTCTGCCCTGACGCTGAAACCAAGGACTCCACTCTTCTACAAGTGCCCACAGGCAGCAGGGTTCCCTCCTGTCTGCTATTGTACTCAGTGGGCATGTGCTAGCTCCTTCTTGCCCACAGCAGCAGCCCAGGACCACATCTGGTCAGCATGGCTGTGCCTGGCATTCCAAGAAAGCAGAGGGTCTTTCAATCTTCCCTGCTCAGCTCTTCTACTTCCTCACTTTCTATGAGGTGAAAACTCCTGAGGCCAAATTTTCACCTCTGGAAGTTGTCTTTTCTGAGTACCTCTCAAGTTGTCTTAGGAAGACAACTGCTTTACCCCAACTTTTGTTTATTGTTGTCACTCTACACTCACTTTGAGGCAATGTTCTTTTTTTGTGTGTGTCCTGTCTTATTTGTGGAAGAAATTTGGAAAGCCTGGAATTTTCTGACCTAGTCCACCATCTTCCTTAATCACTGAGTCTTACTAAATTTTCCTCTGTCATTTTCTTCAGATTCACCTTGCCTACTCCTTTCCATTTCAACAGTTACTATCCTGGTCTTGATTCTTATTACCTTACCATGACATGCCCAATGACTACTGCTATGTACCCCTTCTCCAAGATGGGAAGACAAAAGTAATCTTAACAAGATATGTAGCTCTAGAATGAATTTGACCTATGTCTTTTAAAGCTAGAGGCTTTAAAGAGCTATGGCTAGGAAAGGAAGAAAAGGAGGGAAGAACTCCTTTCTAAACATAGGGTAAAAAGAATTATAGGAGATAAAATAGATAATATTGATTGCATAAAATTGAAAAGCTTCTGCACAAACAAAATCAATGCAGACAAAATTAAAAGGAAGTAGTTAATTGGGAAAAATCTTTGTGGCAGATTTGATAAAGATCTGCTATCTATGATATGTAGGAAATTCATTCAAATATATAAGATTAAGAGCCATTATATAGTAGATAAATGGTCAAAGGATATGAAAAGGCAATTTTCAAGAAAAGAAATCCAAACTAACCATAATCATATGTAAAATGTTACAAATCACTATTAATGTGAGAAACGCAAATTAAAACAAATAAATAGTTTTATCTCAATTCCATTAGAATGGCAAAAGTGACCAAAAAAGAAAAAGAAAATAACAATTATTAGAGAGAAAGGCTGGAGGAAATAGGAGGAAAGTTACAAGTAATGTACTATTATTAGTCAGCTATGAAATGGTCCAGCCATTCTAGAAAGCAAGTTGGAACTTCACACAAAAAGTAACTAAACGATGAATTTGCTTTGACTCAGTGATAAAACTAATAGGCTTATACCATTCATCCCACTCCCAAATAAAAGACAAAATGAAAAAACCTACATGTACAAAAATATATGGCAGCGCTTTTTGTGGTAACAAAGAACTAGAAAATAAGGGGGTACCCATCAATCGGTGAATGGTTCATCAAATTATTGTATATAAATGTGATGGAGTATTACTGTGCCATAAGAAAAAATAAAAGGGAGAAACATGATAAGGCTTATAAAAATTTATGCAGCATGAAATGAGCAGCACTACAGTGACTACATTGTAAAGAAAAAAACAACTTAGAAAGAATTAAGGGGGCAGCTAGGTGGTACAGTGGATAGAGCACTGGCCTTGCAGTCAGGAGGACCTGAGTTCAAATCTAGCCTCAGACACATAACATTCACAAGTCACTTAACCCCAATCACCTCACCAAAAGAAAAAAAATGACTGAAGAATTAAGAACTCTAATCAATGCAATGATCAGTCACAACCCCAGTGAATGAATGATCAAGCATGTTGCTACCCATCTCCTAGCTGAATGATATGCATGGATGTGAGATTTCATCTATCTATTTATCTATATAATTTCTTTTTTTTCCACTTAATAGTTTTTTTTAATTTTTTCCAATTACATGTAAAAACAGTTTTCAACATTCACTTTGTTTTGGGTTTTTTTGGGCTTTTTGGTAAGGCAATCAGGTTAAGTGACTTGCTCAGGGTCACACAGCTAGTAAGTGTCAAGTTTCTGAGGCCGGATTTGATCAACATTCATTTTTATAGGATTTTGAGCTCCAAATTGTTTTTTCTTCCTCCTTCTCTCCCCTTTCCCCTCCCCAAGCTGGCAAGCAATCTGATATAGGCTATACATGTATAATCATATTAAACATGAGATGTATATATATTTCACACATACAAATATATGGATTTATTTTGCTTGACAGGACTTACTTGACATGACATGTTTGTGTGTGTGTGTGTATGAATGTGTTTTAAATTCAACGGACAGGTTTTTTGGGGTGAGAAGTGAGAGAGATGAAACATTAAAAAAACCACAGAAGAGAACAGAAGGGAGTTTTAGAAGAGGATGCAAATAAGCAAAAGAGCTTTTAAACATGTTAAAAATATTTTATTTTCTATAAATATATAAACATATAAATAAAATAGAAATACATAAATATATTTACATATAAATAAAATACATATATATCATAGTAAAGATTTGAGGTTTCATATGTAATCCTTTTTTTCTGTTTCATGTATGCAGAAATTCTTGTGTAAATTGACATTTGTTAAATTCAAAATAATAAAAAGTTTTTTTAGAGAATGCATCTGATCTCTAGCTTTATCACAAACATTCTCCAATTCTAGTACATGTTATGTATAAGATCTGAAGCAGCATGAGCCTCAGCCCCAGATGGGCACAAACATTCATCATTATGATGAAATAGGGGGAGAAAGATACAGGCTCCAACACTGAAGCTGAGTCATGATCCTGCTCATATTCCATTCCTTTTCACAATCTTTCTGACCACCTCATCTATGCTACCCTGATAAAAAATAAACTAATCCTATTCTTGTTATTTGGGTCACCTAAATCCTCCGGGAGAAGTGCCAGTACAGCTAGCCTCTACTCCAGCTGATCTCTGCACTCATAAAGCCTCTGCAAGATCTCAAAGAAAATCCCACACATGGCTTGGAGGTGCTATCAGTGCTCTCTCACACCTCTGGACATCACAGTACCCCATTATCTATACAAGGCTAGCTCAGACTTTGATTGCTGCAAAATGCTTGTAGCCTATGTTATGCAGAGGTCACAGGTAACATTTTAGTTGTTGGCTAATACACTGATAGAATTTACAAGAATTCCCATTCCCACTCCAGAAATGAGAATAAAGGAAGTTGGTCTGCTGTTGGAATGGAGGCTAAGAGGGTGCCAAAGACAAACCTGGCTTACTTCTCGGTTTTGCCTGAGGCAGATCCTGATGCCCATATACAGTTATTATGCCATTAAAAATCTATTTGCAGGTAGGAGAGGAAGGATGAAAGCATTAGTACATACTGGTGAGCCACTGAAAATTTTGCTGGTGAAAAAATGAATCCTAGATAATTTATGAAAATTTAATGAGGCTGGAATACTCACAGTTATAGCATCCAAGATTTGTGAGATGTGTTCATGGATGAACGATTCAGTGGTTTCATCATAGGATAAAGTTCGGCTGAGAGTGGACAAAGATCACAAGAATGTCAGCTTTTCGAGATCACCCTGAATTCATGAGGAAAAAAAGAATTATACTTAAGGTTTTTTTTTTAATCATAGAATATTAGATCTTGAAGGGATCTCAGAGATAAACTAGTCTAACCTGCTTTTTACAGATGTGGAAAACAAGGCCCAGAGAACTTAAGTGCAGCCTCTTTTTTGTGGGGCTCAAATGCCCAGAATGCACATACGGAAGTGATTTGTTTGAGGTCACAAAATTAGGAGTAGAAACCTGGAACATAACACACCATCCTTTCCACTATACCAGGCTGCCCTTAATACCTTACATGCATATAATGCTTTTTTGATGCTTTTTTAAAACTTTTTTTAATTTTGAGGTTGAAATTCCCCCTATCCACCCCACTTCCATCCATTGAGAAGTCAAGCAGTATGATGCCCATCAAACACATGAGGTCATGCAAAACATTTTCATATTAGCCAAGTTGCAAAAATTTAAAAATAAAAAGCAAAATGAATAAAGTGATAAAAAGTGTGCTTTGACCTATACTCGAAGTTCATCAGTTTGCTTCCTGGAGGTGGATAGCATTTTTCATCTTGAGTCCTTTGGAATTGTCTTGGATCACTGCACTGATTACAGTAATTGAGTCTTTCACATTTGATCATCTTTACAATATTTCTGTAACTGTGTGCAGTGTTCTGGTTCTGCTCACCTAATTTTGCATCAGTTCACATACTCTTCCAAGGTTTTCTGAATCCATCCTTCTCATCATTTCTTACAACACAAGAGTATTTCATCACAGTCATATACCACAACTTGTTCAGCTATTCCCCAATTGATAGGCATCTCCTCAATTTCTAATTCTTTGCTGCCACAAAAAGAGCTTCGATAAATACTTTTGTACATATAGGTCCTTTTGTTTTTTCTTTGATCTCTTTGGGATATAGACCTAGAAGTGGTTTTGCTGGGTGAAAGGATATACACAGCTTTATATCCCTTGGAGCATAATTCCAAAATGCTCTCTAGAATGGTTGGATCAGTTCAGGACTCCACCAACAGTGCGTTAGTGTCCCAATTTATCCACATGCCTTCCAGTATTTGTCATTTTCCTTTTCTGTAATGTTAGCCAATCTGATAGGTGTGAGGTGATGCCTCAAAGTTCTTTTAATTTGCATTTCTCTAATCAATAATGATTTAAAGTATTTTTATATGACTAGTGATAGCTTTGATTTCTTCTGAAAATTGCCTGTTCATATCCTCTGATCATTTATCAATTGGGGAATGGCTCTTATTTTTATAATCTTGGTTCAGTTCCCTGCCTTTTGATAAATGAAGCCTTTATTAAAGAAATTTGTTGTAATCCCTTCCTCCTCCCACCTTGTTTCCTTTTAATTTTGGCTGCATTGGTTTTGTTTATGCAAAAACTTTTTAATTTCACGTAATCAAAATTATCAATTTTATCTCCCATGATCCTCTCTCTCCTTTGTTAGGTCATAAACTCTTGCTTTACCTACAAATAGAACTGTGAAGAAACTTTTCCAAATGTTTTAATATTTGTTATTTCATTTGATCCAATATTGTTATGTTAATTAGTATTATATATGTATTTTGTTTTGTCCTAAGACTTTTGTGTTGAAATTTATGATTTTACAAGCCAAAGAATAAATAAATATACAATCTTCATATTTCTCAGAAGATAGAGAATATGAGGGGAAATGCTACTACTAACCCAATTCAATTTGCCCAGCAAGAAGGATTTAAACTAGAAACAATGATAACCTAGGGATAAAAATCACCATTATTAATTCTAATATGTTAGAATTTATAATATCCAAAAATGGGGAGTATTAGGACTAGTTTAATGTGGTACCTAGATGTAAGGAAAGCAAATTTTTAAAAATTCAGAGAAAAGGCAGGTATATATAGATACTCTCAAAATGAAAATGGCTCAAGAAGGAGGAGGAGTTTCCAAAAACCAAATTCTAATGATACAATTATAAATGATCCCAATTAGGAAGAAACATAGAAGTAAGAACAAGAGAAGGAAATGAGGCTCACAAGGAGCCCTTGGAAGCACTCATATTTCCCCAAGGCCCTTATACAAAAGGCATGAGGATGAACACACAAAGAACAGTAAAAATAAAGGAGACCTTCCAGTCAGCCTGTAGAACAAGCATCGGAAAGGCTACAACCAGAATGAGGGTAGGCTTATGCTATGAAAATAGCAGAAAATGCTATAGAGGACAAAAACAGGGAAAGCAGAACTATTTCACTTCTGTTTATGTTCTCTGCCAATCACCTTCAGACTAAAAAGTGAAGAACAAATATAATTAAGAAGGGAATTTAAGCTAAAGGTAGTAAGTGCTTATGAGCATGGACCAGGTCCTAGAAAATTAAGTATCAATGAAAGAAGACGTATGAAAGTGTAGAAGTACCAATCAGAGATGATGTAAAGTCTGCTCATACCTTCCGATCACCATTAAGATAGTCCTGAATGGAATTTATCATCCTTTCTATTATAATCACACCTGGGGTCCCCTCAAGCTCCGATTGTATGACGTTTTCTGTAACAACTTTTAGAGAAGTTCCAGGGATATCAGAAATGTCTGAGTCTAATAAAAAAAAAAAAGAAAGGTGAAAGTTTAAAAGTTACCATGCTATGGTAAAATAGTAGGGTATAGTAAAAGGAATACTTGCAACAAATATGTATTAAGTTCCCTCTGTGAGGAATGGCACTCATGTCCTAGTCCATTAATATGTATATATGTGTATAGATTAAAATTAGAATGAAACAGAGTAGATTAGCACTTTGGGTTGTAGAAATTCAGATTAATAGAAGTTAAGTAATTTGTCCTAGGTCATACAGCTAGTAAGGATCTGAGGTGGGATTTGAACTCAGGCTTCCTGACTCCAGGCCCAGCACTCTATCTACTATGCTACCCAGCTGCTTCTGTTTTAACAGTGTGAATTCACAAAACACCTTGATCCCCATTTTGAAAGTATGTGGGGTGATACGTGATGATGAAATAAGAAGTGGTCCATATGAAGAGATAGAGATAGAGACTGGACCTGTGATTTCATAGGTTTAAGGAATTCTCAGGTAAAGAATCTCCTTCTGTCAATGCAGATCAGTATCTTCTCTGAAATTTAGAGTCTTGGAGCCTAGATGACTGAGCAGTTAAGTAACTTGCCCTGGCTGGCCAGTATATGTCAAAGGCAGGACTTGAACCCAGATCTTCCTGGATTTGAGGCTGGTTTTCTTCCATTATGCTAGCTGCCTCTTATATACATATAACTCTAATACAAAGACAAATAATTGCTAAGAGAAATCCAAAGTACAAAATACATTTGAAGAAAGACATCACTTCTAACTTGGAGACTGAAAAAGAGGCTTCATGGATAAAATGGTCCCTGGGGGAGTTTTCAGGCAAGGAAAGGATTTTCACAGATATGGGGGAGGGATGGGGTAGAGGAAGCCATCCTAAGAAGGAAGTAAAGAGTAAGTAACAGTAAAGAGATAATAAGGAGAAAAATGATAACAGAAAACTAAGCTGGCTACAACTACAGTTACCTGGAACATAAGGGATTGAATAGGAAGGGAAGTAGAGTGAAAAGTGCTGGAAGAATAGACTGGAGTCCAATTGTAAACAGCTCTGGACACCAGATACAGAAGCATGTACTTCAGTGGCCACTAAAAGTTTCTGATTTAATCAGAGTGATGAATTAACATTACAGGGGTAGTTGTGTGAAGGATGAGTGGAAGAAGGAAGAAACTAGAGGCAGAAATACTAGGAAGCAGGCTACTAGAGCTTAAAGAGGTCTGAACTTAAGGAGCAAGAAGAGAAATAGAAAGGAGAGAACAGATTAAAAAACCTATTGTGGAGGTAGAATCAATAAGCATTTGCTATTAATTGGATGTAGAATATGAGGGGAAAAGAAAATAAAAGGATGACTCCAAAGTTTGGAGTTTGGGTGACTAGAAGAAGGGTGGTACCAGAAATGGAAACAGAGATTTAGGTGGTAAGAAAATGAGTTCAGTTCTGAACATGTTGGGTTTGAGATGATGGTAGGACATGTAGAAGGTGGCTAAAAATATGGGAGAGGACTATAGGGCTCTTAGGAAATTCTGTCTTAGGTTGAACTGAAACTTGCTTTCCTATATTTTTTTCACTCATTAATACTTATTCTTCAACTGCCTTTCATATATCTTGATAGTGATCCTGTCCCCTATAAATCTTTTTTTTAAATATAGACGAAACACTCCTAATTCCTTTAACAAATTCTCATATGGCATGATTTTGAGTCCCCTTAACATCGGGCTCTCCCTCTTTGGGATTTGCTTCAGCATGATAATGGCACTCCTAAAACAAGGTGCCTAGAACTCAACAAAATTTTTCAGGTGAGGTCTGACTAGTTTGTTATTAGTGATACTGTATACAAATATAATCTCTTTTTTTTTTTCCTGGACACTAAACTTCTATAAGGTAGCCTAATGTACCACCTAGCCCATTTTAAGTACCAATTTGTCACGGGGATGCTCTAAGGTCAAGAATTAGAGTAAACCATAATTCTGCAAGAATTAAAACTGGTGGTCACTAACACAGGGCAATGGAGATGTGGCAGGTGTAAATAGGCTAATGTATATTACCAATGTTGACTTGCATACATGAAGTTGGATAAAAGATAATATCCAAGAGATGTAATGCCAACAAGGGAAGCAAGTGGATCATATAGTGACAGCAAGAGATCTTGCCCTGCAGTGATATCTACAAAATATTAAAACACTTGGAGGAAGGCCTCCTGTACATGGGATTACTCAATGGAAGGTTAAAGCAAAGACATAGACAAGAAGCATATGCAAAAAAAATGACCCATGAATGGGTCACAATCTGAAGCAGTACAGGAAGACCCTACACCAAAGAGATCAGAAATGGATCCAAATCCTGTTGATGATGTTAGACTTTTTTTGTCACTACAGCACATTACTGAATCATTTTGAGTTTGCAGTCGATTGTAGCTACTACATGTTTTATTTCACCTTTATCCCCAGGTAAAGAAATCTAGAAAGTAATAAATCTTTGAATCAGTGTTTTTGGAATTTTATTAAAATCTTCTTCATACAAATTGCTACCAAGCCACATCCTATCTACCTTGTGTTTCTGCAACTTTCTAAAATCTAAGCACAGAAAACTACATTCATCACTAACAATTTTCATTTGCTAGATTCAGCCTCTTTCTAGTCTGTAGAGTGATCATCAAAGATATTCAATATAGTGTATCACATTGTTATTTTCTTTTATTTATATATAGAAACAGGGCCACAAGAGCACTGGATTAAAGTCAAAAGGCCTGAGTTCTAATCCTGTTTCTGCCACTTACTACCTATGTGACATTGAACAAGTCACTTAACTTCTCTAAGTCTTGGTTTCCTCATCTGGAAAATGAAAAGGTTAGACTAAATGATCTCTAAATTCCCTTCTGGCTCTAAATTTTATGATTCTGAAGGTCATTCTTGTCTTCCTAACTTAGTTGCAAGTTCCCAAAGGATTGGGACCAGATTTGCAGCTTCTAAAGTGGTTAGTATAGTGCTTATACCCAGTTAGTTACTAGACAGATTTCTCAGCTTGACTTAAGAGAGGTTCTTTTTCTCCTTTGCCTATGACATCAAGGTTCCTTGAATTCTTCTTCATCCCTTCCAAGTTGCTTAGCTGTAAATCCACACTTCCAGAACCACTGCCAGAACTGTAGGGAGACACCATCTCTTCAATAGTGTTGAACCTAGTTATGAGCATAGTATTAAAAGAGAGCAATTTTTTTCCCTTGGGAGGGTAGAATTGTTGAGCTCTTTGTGAAAAATCAATGTTTTGCAAGTCTGAGCTATTCATCTGACCAAATAATGACTCCTGCCCATACGAGCTCAGAGAAAAGAAACAGTAGAATGTAATAAAACAGGTCACAGACCTGGGCTTACATCTTAGGTGGCACAGTAGAGTACTGGACCTGGAGCCTCCTGGAGGACCAGAGTTCAAATTTGCCCTTGGGAGCTTACTAGTTGTTTGACCCTGGGCAAGTCCCTTAACTTCTGCCTCAATTTCCTCATCTATAAAACAGGGATAATAACAGTACCTAACTTACAGGGCTATTGTGAGGATAAAATGAGATAATAATTGGAATGTACTTAGCAAACCCTAAAGGGATATACAAATACTGTCATTATTTGTGTGACTTTGGGCTAGTCACAATTTCTCTGGGCTTCAGTTTCCTCATCTGAAAAATAAGAGGGATGGACCTGATCTCTACAAGTCTTTTTAAGCTAAGTTTAGAGTTATGATTTTAATTATCAGCTTTTTTTACATACCCCACAAGCAGATTCTTATTGTTTCCTTAACTTCTTACCATGCTCCTAAAATAATTTTGTAACCAAGTCATACACAGGAGTGATTTAATAAGCATAATCTTTCCCTTAACTTCTCTCCCTCACTTTCAGGACTTGTACAATTATTTGGCAATGCAAAGGAAGTCAGATGAGATAGGAGCTAAATTCTATCAGAGTTCCTGTCTAGTGTTAGTCTCAATAAGGAATCCTGTACTAACCAGGAGGTAATTTAGGGTACAATACTAGTGGTGAGAAATGATCAATTAGTCTGAGTTAGGAAAAATTGTTTCATAGGTAAACACACAGGTAACACCGTTTGTTAGGCAGGAGAACACAGGAGGGCTCCTAACACCAACAGGTGTTCTAGCACAGGTTCACTTTTGATCCGATCAGACAGGAAGACAGCTTCAGAGGGGTTAAATAAACTTGCTTTATTCTAGTCTAGTCTTTTCATAAGGGTTGCTGACAATGGGAGCTCCAACTCCTACAGCATTCCCTAATCACACTTTTCGCAGAAGTGGGCTAGAATGGTAGGAGCTTCAATGGGGGCCAGCTGAGGCAAACACAGATTCTCCCCAAACCTTGATGGGGGCTGATCAAGGCAGGTACATGCATTCCTCTATGCAAAACTGAGTGAAACAATGTAAACAATGTGAGATCTCTCAGATGGACTGAGTGTAGCAATTTCTTAGACTGTTACAAACTCAAGGTTGGTTTCACTAGTCTGAATAGGCCCAAGTTTCAGGTTCCTAGAAAACACATGATTTGTACTGTTACATCAGCATCAGGTAATGGCTAATGCTAAAAAAGGATAAAATAGCTAGGATTGGTAGTATTATAATGAGATTCCTTGTTTCTGGGGTAGATTTTCGCGTTTTAGATTGTAAGGCTGAAATTCCTGTCCAATGGGAATTTAAGGCCAGTGGTGGGTGGGTATCTCTGCATTAGGACCATATAACCTTTGTTCTGGCCTTTGTGCCTTGCCTCGCTTTGCTCGGACTGCCGGACGAAGCAGATGCCTGCTTCTCGCGGGAACGTAATAAATCTTTCACTTCATACCTAGAAAATCTCTGAGTGTTATTTTTAGGTAGCTGTAGCACACAAAACCAAATCCCAAAATGGGGTCCCTTCTTACTGACCAGTGCCCACTTGATTTATAGGGCAACAGACAAAGAAGGCATCTTGCCAACATTAAGCTCACAGGTTAACTTTAGCAATATTGTCATGACCTAGCATAGTGCATGCATACATTACATCACCCCTATATGTGTACTGCGACTGCGCAGTAAAAATTGTTTTCTACCATAATTTGTGGGAAATATTATCTAGGATCCTGGAACTATTATCTAAAACAGAATAACAAAGTCCTCCTTACATACACTAAAATCCACCTTACTTACAAAAATGAAGTACATAATTTTGATTGGTTAAAAAATCCTCTTTTTTTGGTCTCTTTTCCATAAGGTTTGCTAGTAATAAATGACCTCTATTCTAAATTCACTCACCTCAACCCTCACACCCTCTTTTTCTATTCTTTCCTAGAAACTTCCAAGCCACAAGCCAGTACAGCTTTTGCTTTGCTGGACAATATCTAATTTCCTGATCTCAGATAGGAAAACAATCAAATGAACCTTCCTTCCTCCATATAAAGCCCTTGATCCTCGTTACCTGTATTATTGAACATCCATTGAATATCTGTGAATTAAAAACACTGAAATAAAGGCCTATCATTTTAAGTATTAAAATAAAATATTACCAAATTTGATATTTGTAAAGTGTAAATTAGCACAGTGCCTGGCACATAGTAGGCACTTAATTGTCTTTTCTAGTTTACTCTTCCTGCCACAAATCTTAAGGCCCAGTGACACAGGCAATTCTCCCTTTCTTCTCCTGCTCTCTGTAGTCCTTTTATTTTACTTTTCTTCCTGTGTCCTTTTCTCCCAAAAGTCACCTGGGGACAAAGACTTAGGCTGGTAAATAGGTAATTGCCTGGCATGGGAGGAGGCTGTAAAGCTTTGAGATCCAGCTCCCCAGGGAAACTACCATCAAAGGGAAGGGAATCAGAAAGTGATTCATAGGGGAAAATAAGGGGGGGGGCGCGGAGACTTAAATTACAAAAGATCTCATGAAGAAAACTCAAAGACTAAACATAAGCCAATAAATCAACAGGGAAAACATTAAAAGCATAAGCAAAGAAGCCTCCTTCCATGTTTTTTTTTTTTGCAGATGCATGGACCTGCTATCCTGATATTGTTCTGAACAGAAAAATTTTATACAACCTGATGACTGTGCAGCCCTTTAAAAGTTTTGTTTTTGTAATATACATAATACAAACATTTCTACTAAAAATGGAAAAACTGTGTAGTTTTATTATATTTATTATTGAATAATATAATGTTTTTCCTTTCCTGAAGGTAATATCAGGGGGGCTTTGAGCCTATCTTGCATAACGTCAGGTTTCTGAAATTAGCTAACTCTAGTAAAGTAATTACTAAGTCAATCATCATTTCACCATCTGAAAATAGAAAGGCCACCTATTTCATTCCAAACAGCCAGCCAGTCAGCCAAGATCACATGCTGATCCAATCTGAACCAATCCAATGGCAGTTGATAAACCAATTAGAATACAAAGAGCTTCAAGAAAGGAAAAACAACCATGTAAATAGAGATTCAGAATCAGCAATGTTTTGAAAAGAAAATCTCATCTGTGCTGCAACAATTCAGTGTGTGCTAGAGCGTCTCAGTCACTGAGTAGCTGTACACTCACGCAGTTTATTGGGAGCTTTGCTCCACACCAGTAAATCAGTCCAGACATCTATGAATAAATATTGCAAAATGAAGTAAAAGATTCAACACTTAAAAAGACAGAGGATCCTGTGGAATTTAAGAACATAGAACCACAAAATGCTGTCCCCAAGTGGTTTAAAAGAGAAATGAGAATTATGAGAGCAGAATTTTTGGATTGCATAGCAACAATAATTGATAGAAAAATTTGAATCTGGAATGATAAGACTCACCAAAGAAATAAAAGAGAGAAAAATCAATTGAGGATGCAAGTACACAAAAGTGAAGGACATTCTAGAAGAAGAGAAGAAAAAAACATTAAAATAAATTATACTCTCTGTCCAAACAAAACATGCTGACCTAGAAGACAGGGCAACTTAAGAGACAACCTGAGGATTATGCATCTATCAAAAGAACATAAGTCAAAAAACCTGAACACCAGAATGCAAGAAATTATACAAGAAAACTGCCCAGAACTTCTGAACACAGAAAATGCAATACTTGTTCAAAGAATTCACAGACCACTTCCGGAAAAAAACAAATAACAACCAAAAAAAACCCAAGAGTGCAGACTCCAAGACATAAAGTGGTTAAATTTACCAACTCAATTCAAAAACAAGAAGTTCTGCAAGTGACCAGGAGAAAGACCTTCAAATACAGTGAAAAGGAAATTAGAATATTATATATATAAATACATATGCATATAGATAGGTAAATAGGAGGCAGTTATGATGGGATGCTTGGGCCCCAGCCCTATGATCATGTCTCTGGAAGCCTCTCAATTTCTTAGTGGGCTCCTGTCCTGTAACAAAATTTTCTCTTGTTGCAGAACACAGTCTTATCAGAATGGACAGAGGGGTGCCTGGCCCAAAGATTTTTGTCCCTGGCTGGCTCACGGACTCTTCCTCCCACCATATCCCCAAGGTCCATGTCTCTGGCAGCTAAACAAAAAAACTGTCTTTTCTCCTTCCCTGTCTGGTATACTCCCTACACTTTCCCATTCATAGCTCCCAAAGACACCTGGACCCTTAGATTACCTAATTAGCATCCCTGGCATTCCTTTCCCATGCCCCTTTTCCATGTAAACCCCAGCACCAGCCTCAGTTTCTTGAAGGTTCCCTTATGCCCAATTTTGCTCAAGTGTTAACAATACACTTTTTGCCACTTGACTAAGCGAAGGCTTGAGTGTGAATTCATTCCAACCAACCCTGCCTTGGCATTCTCGGGTCCCAGTACCCCAAAACTTCTTCAGTTAGGTGGCTCAGTGGATAGAGCACTAGACATGAAGTCAGAAAGATCTGAATTCAAATCCAGCCTCAGACATTTACTAGCTGCACGAGCCTGACAAGTCATTTAATCTCTATTTGCCTTAACCCGATAGAGAAAGAAATGGCAAAACACTCTAGTATCTTTGCCAAAAAAATCCCACGGACAGTATGGTCCATGGGGTCATGAAGAGTCAACACAACTGAAATGACTGAACAACAATATAGGTAAATGTATATAAAACTGATATTTATGTAGCACTTTAAGTTTTGCAAAGCACTTTATATACATGATCTTATCTGAGCTTCAAAATAACCCTGGGAAATCAATTGTGTCTCCATTTTAGAGCTAAAATGGTGAACTGAG